AAAAAAAAAAAAAAAAAAAAAAAAAGGAGTGGACAAAAATGAAAAGGACGTGTTTAAGGAATACGTTTTCTGTACAAATTGTATAGAAAATGTATTCCTTAAATACGTTTTTTCAAAATTTTTTTCAAAAGAAAACGTATTCAATGAATACGTTTTACAATTAAAAAAATGGTAAAACGTATTCACTGAATACGGGTTTTTTATTATGGTCCACTCTCATTTGTTTGTGTATTTTTTTTTCCACAACTTAACCTTTTTATAATTTCCTGGTAAAAAATTCGCCTTCAAACACTACTATTATTTCCAAACTCTTTAAAATAAAACAAATGAAAAGAATCGAATCGAAAAGAACGCTAGTTGAAGTACTATGCACTTTGTAAACATAACGATAAGAGCTTTTTAAAATTCGTGTAAGTCATGGTGTAATTTTAAATATAAATAATAATATATATTTTTAAAAAATAACCTAAAAAACAAAAAAAAAATTATTATTATTATTATGTTTTAAAAATAATTTTCATGTACTACAATTGTATTAGTTAATAGATAAAGGGGTGGTTTACTTTGCATGACAAGACATGATAAGTAAAATAGTCCTGGAATAACATCCGTTTACTTACATGGATTGAGATAGGATTGCTCTGATGTGGCGCACATGTAGCATGTGCTTATCAACTGTTGGCCGACTAAATTGGTCCCGGCCACTCCCTCGGATAATTTAATCCCAACCTTACAATGACCATTTTGCCCTCAATATTGGTTTGCGAAAATACTAAAACACCCGTAATTGTCCATGTATTTACAAATTTATACCATATAAAAATTGAAAATGGGCCATTTGCCCTAGTTTTTGCAAAGACGAGTCGGGAAGTAGCACAAAGCTTCGGTATTTCCGTCGGGCCGAAAGCTAAGCTCAAATTTCGTCTTCTTTGTGTTTTCCAATCCTGAAGTAAGCAACCATAGTCTATATTTGTCGATTAACTAGAATTGGGGATTAGTAATTCGATTTTTTTTTTTTTTTTTGAAGAAACCCTATATCAAGTGATTTTTGTCCTCTTCTTTTTTTTTTCTTAAGCTAAACCGATACTGACGAATAATCAACCCGCAATGAAGTTTACCTTTTGCTCCAACTCGCTTATTATCTTATTATAGTGGGAAGGGAGGCTGGTAAGGGATTATATTAGGTCAATTACATCGAACCTTACAGCTGCAATTCGAAGCGAAGTGAAGTCATGGACTGAAAGTGAAATACGATCTTGTGGGGACTTCATTCCTCAAATAGAATCAAATAGAAAAAAGCAGACAAAGACCCAACAAATTTTTCGAAGCGAAGTGAAGTCATACTTCGTTGGTCCCATGCTACCACGCCTACCTCTAATTTTTTTTTGATCTTTCGTATTTCAATTGCTTTGTGGAATATTGAATTCATCTCCGATTAACGCATGTGCGTGTAAATTATATCCATTGAACATTCATCCCAGTTTTTTGATGTTCGAGCTAGTTCGTTGTGGTTGATATCCATTTTCGTATGAAAGTTTTTCTGTATGTTTCAAAAAGGTAAATGTGTCATTTACAGTTTTATCATCCATTTAGTCCCATATAGTAATTGCTTGATTTATTTATGAAAATTGCATCCTATAAAGTAAAGATCGGACAAAATGCAGACGTGTAAAGTTGATTGGACTAAATTATCCAATCTCATATAACATAAGGAAATGAGGCCACAAATAGAACGAGGAAATTTTTATTTATTTAGGATTTGTTTATTTATTATGGCCACGCTAACAGCCTCACCCTGACTCATCGTAAACCTGTACTGCGGTACTGCCGTTGCCGTCGTTATCGGTTATCGTCCTTCGTGAGTTAAATGTCGGCATAGGAATCTACGTACAATCAACAGAAATTGAGAGAGGCAAAGTTGAATATCTCAAATGGAGGACAACGGAGGGTCTCCATGGCGGTTCAAGGGAAACGAGATGCTTACACGGGCCTCAGCATTTACTATCAGAGGAGTGCTAAACAAACTCACGGAGAATCTCGACCCGAACGAAACCCGACCCATAATACAATTGGGACAAGGCGACCCATCCTCCTGCCCTTCCTTCCACACCGCCCCTTTAGCTGAAGACGCCATCTGCGCCGCCTTGCGCTCCGCCAAGTTCAACGGCTACTCCCCCACCGCCGGTATTCTGCCGGCTCGCAGGTGATGAAGATTAATTATCCTTTTTAACTATGCCGTACACACATGCAGTTAACTAATACCTTCTAATTTCTACTGTAATTGATTTTATCTATTTTTTTGTTTTACCCATGTTTTGATTGTTAATGTTGCTTGTTTTCTGGTAATTGTCGATTTAAGTGTTCCTTCAATATTGCGAGGTGTGTCTATTTTTGTGCTGAACATGTTATTGATGAAGAGTTCTGATAAAAATTAGAACATTTACACAATGATTAAAAGGGGGTTTGTTTCATATAGTTTTAATTACAGTACTAAATGGTTTGTCTTTGTGAGAATTGAAAAGATGGAATCTTGCCAAACGGTTTTCTTTTGATGTTGCTTGAAATGCAGAGATAGTGGTGGGGACAGGGAAAGGCCTCTGCCATTTTTGCAATATCAACTGCATATGTTGAGTAGTCACATGTGTTTGCATTATATGTTAGGCCGTGATGTTCGTTTGTTTTGATTTCCATACTTCGGGAAAATTCGACCCTAGCACTGTGAGCACTGCCCTCATTTGCCCCATAATCATGCCATGAATAGTTATCCTTTTCTATTTGGTTTGTGTGTTAATTAAGATATTTGTTCAGATTCATGTAAATTAATCTGTGTTTGTGACGTATGCATTAGTTGGGTTTGATTGAGGTTTGTAATATGATGTTTGAGGCTGGAAATTCGAGTTAATAGCACACACAAAGCCAGATAGCTGATGTGTTTGTGGTACATGGTAGTTTGATAATGCATTAATTCGCAAGAAATTTTGATCAAGCCAGCCCCCATTGTGTGGGATAACAAAAATTTGATCAATTTAATTTGCTCAAATAACAGTGTGTTTTCATTTGATATGAAATGGATGTGGACGAAACCTATTGGCTTTTGTTCTATTACACCCAATATATACACAGGCTACAATGCAATGAGCAAAAGGGAGAAGTGAAATGTTTTAATACCATTTAGGTATTTAATCCATGGGCTTGTGCTGAATGAGCTCTGTGTTCAGATTTCATCACACTTCACTGACAGGCATCCTTTTTTCTTCTTTGTGTAGGGCAGTAGCAGAATACCTTTCAAAGGACCTTCCATACAAGTTGTCGCCAGATGATGTGTTCGTGACAGTTGGTTGCACCCAAGCACTAGAGACCATTATAACTGTCCTTGCACGCCCGGGTGCTAACATTTTGCTTCCAAAGCCTGGCTTTCCTTACTACGAAGCTAGAGCCAGTTTTTCTCAACTTGAAGCCAGGCACTTTAATCTTCTTCCTGAAAAAAATTGGGAAGTTGATTTAGATGGAGTTGAAGCTTTAGCAGATGAGAATACAGTTGCCATGGTAGTTATCAATCCAGGGAATCCATGTGGGAATGTGTGCAGTTACAATCACTTAAAGAAGGTGGGAAATTTGTTTTAATTGAGTACAATATGAAAGTGGAAGCTTTTGGGTAATGATTGTCAACTTGTGACGATTTCTTCTTTCTGTGGTAGATTGCAGAGATAGCAAGAAAGCTCGGAATTTTTGTGATTGCTGATGAAGTTTATAATCATCTGTCCTTTGGAAGCAGACCATTTGTTCCTATGGGAGTATTTGGATCAATTGTTCCAGTTGTGACCATTGGATCAATATCCAAGAGATGGGTTGTGCCTGGTTGGAGACTTGGCTGGCTTGTCATGAATGATCCACATGGGATCCTTATGAAGCAAGGGGTATTATCTTCTTCCTTCTTTTTTTTTTTTTTTTTTTTTTTTTTTTTTTTTTCTTCAGATTTTTAGAAAATTGTTTGTTTTTACTTTTTTCCCACTCATACAGTTTGTAGGCCAAGCATGATGGGGTATTTCTGCTTTTACAGAATCCAAAAAACTAATGGCAGAATGAGCTTTGTTAGGCGGACAAATTGACCTTTTAAGTGATCCACATAGAAATTTCAACTTGCCAGTTATGTTTCCCAAGAGTTGATGATTATGACAACATTTCCACCTAACGGCAAGAACGTTTGATTTTTGATAGAATCTCAAGATTCAGTCTCTCTCTCATTTCTTTTATGGCTTTACGCTCATTTATGTGGTAAAATATGCCTTCTATTTTGGGAATCTGATATAGAAGTTGAGCTTAATTTGAGATTAGGCAATGCAGCAATGATCAAATTTGTATGCTTTTTATAACCATATTTGAATTTGGTTGGCTATTTTGCTTTCGATGTGTTATATTTGCATCAAACATTGTCATTTATATGAAAAAGATTATGAGATTTTTACGACATTTGACAAGAAATCCACTAAAGTTGATCATATCTACAGATTGCGGATAGCATCAAGGGCTATTTGAACATTACCTCTGACCCAGCTACCTTTATTCAGGTAACTTTTTTTGTTAGTTTTCTTTAGTATTTCTTCGTTTTTTCGGTTACTAGCTTTCGAAGTGTCACAGTACCTTAAAGTGCGCGTACTAGGAGTTTTCCTTTGTGAAATCTGTGGGTAACTATAAGTTTGTCTAGTCAAAACTCTGTCTTAGAAGCTGACTTTTAATATAATGGGAATACTCGCGCTGACTATAACTTAATGTTTCATATATATTATTTTCTTGTAATCATTTTTCACATACTCTTGTTATGTTGAACAGGGGGCAATCCCACATATCCTTGAGAATACCCCGAGTGAGTACCATCTGAAAATAATTAATGTACTAAGAGAATCTGCAGATATATGCTACAACCAGATCAAAGAAATCCCCTGCATGACTTGCCCCAGCAAACCCGAGGGATCTATGTTTGTTATGGTAAATAGAAACTGATAAACTTTCATTTAGTTATTACAACAGGAAAAAAAAAATTGTAGGTGTGATTTGCCCCGAGTTTTTGCATTTCAGGTAAAGCTTAATCTGCCCCTCTTTGAAGATATTAAGGATGATGTAGACTTTTGCTGCAAGCTAGCCAAGGAGGAATCTGTGTTAGTTCTCCCAGGTAAAAAAAAAAAAGAAAAAAGAATAATTTCCTTAATGCCCGTATAGGCTTTTATTGGCAGTTTTGTGCAAAATGCTTGGTTTAGGATCAAGCGACGACTAGTTTCGATTTGATAACTGTAATAACTTCTAAAGCATGACGAAAGTATTTTCATTTGCAGGGGTTGCTGTAGGATTAAAGAATTGGGTCCGAGTGACATTTGCCAGCGAGCCATCATCCCTCGATGATGGCCTAGAAAGAATGAAAGCTTTCTGTAAGAGGCACATGAAGAAACAATAAAAGTTGTTTCTTTTGTAGTTAAAAAATTCATTAATACACCAGCTCTTTGAAGGTACAATAGCCCAAGTTTTGTGGTGGCTGTCTTGAAACTTAGCTGTTTCATCCCCGCATTCTGCATTAAGTATTAGATAATAAGTGCTCGTTTCACTTGTCTGCGTGAAACAGGAAGACCATTACAACTCTGCTTTATTTTATGTTTATGGTTTTAGATACTTGAAAAGACAGTTGCGAAATAATGGGGAGGGGCTCGACGAAACTCGTGTATCTCCTCCACCGACGTGCTTGTACGTGTGTTGTATTGTATGTATATAATCTTGGCTGGTTGAACAATGTTGTGGTATGTAATGTTTTAATTTCAGTGTCATGTTGTCCCCTTGTCGGTTTGACGTTTATTCGTGTTACTATTTATTATTATTATTTATCAGTAAAATACCGTGTATTACATGGGTGAATTAAGAAGCATATATAATGTATATTAAAGTTTTTAATTGTCAAATCATATTTTTTTAATCATAATAGATAACACCCGTATATGATTTTAAAAATTGGTTGTTAAACTATATTTTTTAAGCAATTTTAAAAATTGGTTGTTAAACTATATCTTTTAAGCTTTATATGTAAGTTTAGAATTTGGATAATTAATTATTTATTTTTATTAAATTGACAACTACCAATTAATTATTAGGCAAAAGGGCGTGCAGGTTAATCGACCTTAATTATTGGATCAATGTCGAAATCGACGGTCAAGATGGAACGAGCAAGTTGAAAAGGCGGGCCGAGCGGAGTTGTGAGTTCGTGGTTGAATTCGACGGTAAAGATAAAAATGTGCGAAATTGAAAACAGGTCGCATGGAGCCGTTAGATTATGTCCGAAATCAATTGCTGAGATTAAGCAAGCAAGTTGAAAAGATAGTAGTTTTCAACGTCAGATGAAAGGCAGATCTAATGGTTCTTATTAAACGAGCATTTAATGGATACGTTGTACTTGGCCAACGGGAATTAAGAAGCGTTGACGTCGAGCAGACGTTGCGACTGTTTGAATATGACAAGACGCGAATTAAGAAGCGATGACGTCGACCAGACTTTGCGACTGTTTGAATATGACAAGAGGCGAATATTTGAATTTTGAAATTTGAACTCAAGATCACAAGAGGAGGTCGAAAGTAATGTTGCAGAACTGAAGATGGTGCGAGCACCCATGTCGAAAAATAAGAGTTGAAACTCACCAACCAAAGCCAAAGACAAAATCTACTCTAGATCGAGTTATCTTAACTCAACCAGAGGGGG